CACCTTCAAGCACTCATCCTGCAAAGTGAAAGGGCAGAACTGCAATGTGCGCAAAATAGAAAGGTAGAGACAAATTTGTATTTTAAAAAAGATAACGATAAATTGTTTTTTAAATTATTAATTAAAAAAAATTACTTATTACTTAATATATGATGTTATTACATATAAAAAATCTATTTGTCATTTAAATATTTCTATACTTTTTTTGAGTGGTGAATCTATTTTTTACTTCTTTTTTTTTTTTTTTATTTGAAAGGTAGATTTAGGATTTTGGCAAGTGAAATTCTACTATTTCTACTTGGCTACCCCAGCAACAATTCCATCCTGTCTTTTCTTTTTCTGTGTATTTAGTCAAAGGTGTGTTTAGATCGTGTTGGGATGGCGCCCAGTAACGGCCCAACATCTTTGCACCTTGAATAACAGCCCAGCAGTGCTCCTATTCTGGCCCAAGGTTGCATGTCAGACCATGGAGGCCTATTGCGATAGTACAATGAGTGAGCCAATTAGGAGTGGATGGTATGTCAAGGCAGGACAATTATTACCCCACAACTATTCCTCATGGGTAATAAATAACACTCTCAATCAAGTCTCTTTAGAATACATATAGTATTACTGAGTTGAGTTTTGTAGGTACATGAGTCAAACCAGGCCAAGATTCGATTCACAACTCGACCTGGATAATTCCTATATTAACAGATGGCTTGTAAATTTTGTTTTTATCTCTTCTGATAGTTTGTAATGATTAGCTTGAAATTGAGATGCAATCTGAATTTTATGACCCCTAATTCAATCAATTTATATGTTTCTTTTACATTTTTTATTTTCTTTTTTAATTGAATCCTCAATTTTCTTATAAAACGTTTGCGAATGTACGATATAGAAACAACACTTAGAAGTTTATATTTTAAAAAATTTAATTTAAAATTTTAATATTAATATAAAGGTAATTTTATTTGAATGATCTTTTTTTTTTAAAAAAAATAATCAAAAGAAATGAATAATATCCTTGAGGCTACTATGACCTTATAAAAGATTTTTTATGTTCAAATTTAGTAGCGTGGTGTTTGAACTTTGAATCCGACCGGAAGTTAAAAGAATAATCAAAAGAAATATCAGTGTACGGCATTTTTCCTTAAAAAAAAGGGGAAAAAGTAAAGTACTGAGAAAAAATAGATAGAGTGAAAAAATGGTAGAGAAGGGGTTTAAGGCAGTGGGTGGAGCACCCAACACGGTTTTATCCTGTCTCTCAGCATCCCTTGTTTCCTAACAAAAAAGTGACGGACGTTGAGGTCTGAGGTTCTAGTCGTGAATCAAACGGGTATTTTCTTTTCTCCCTTCCCTAGTTCTCCTGTTTCTTTCATCCCCAGAAATCGCAAAACTAGATAGTCAGTTCTGTTTTCTGTGGATAATTCAATAAATATTCTATAAACTCATTGGGTTTCAACTTTTTTCTTTCAGGTTTTTGAGTTTAAAGTGCTGCTGCTTCGCATCAAAGGGAAGGTCTTGATTTCTCTCTCAAATGGGTATGTTATGTGCAAGTTCAATATTTTAATGGAAACAAAAATACAAGTTATTCACTTCTGTGTTTTTGTTTGTTGTAAAAAAGTTATAGCTCCACCCTTACCAAACCCCTCAGCGCCCACTGATTGCAAGATTTGAACTTCAAACCTCCAACAGTTCAAGGTTTTAACCACTCCGTTGATTCTTAGTGGACACGAGTCATTGTAAGATAATGAATTATTTGCTTGTTAGTTTAATATTTCGAGATTCTAAAGGCCAAAGTGGATAATTTAGTATCAATGATGTCATTAAGGTAACAGAGGCAAACTCCAGAACCATAAAATAGGTAAGAAAAGTGCCTTAATTCAAACTATTATCACGAAAGGGGCAAATATAATGCTTCTGACCACACTCACCTAAGAAAGTTATAATGAATTTTTTTCCTAACTTGTCTTAGAGAGAGCGGCTAATTTAGTAGATCAATAGCAACATAGCCTTCACTTCCTGATCTCTGTATTACAACATCTACAAACCTACTAATAAAGTGTTTATTGAATCTGAACAGGTCCCATTGGTCCTTAATAATTTGTTGATAGCCTTCAGCATTTTGACCTTAGTGGCTTAGCCAGTAAATGCCATAATCGGGTTTTTCTCTTTGTTTTCTTGGTTAGATTACATTCCTATCACATTGAGAGAGTGAAATGAAAGCTTTAAGCTTTATGGCCTTTGATAGTAATGATTTTATGGGATGTTCGTTGGACTGTTCCACTGTCCCTGATCTTTTAACAATTATATGTTGTCAAAATAACAAACTTGGTTTGTCTTTCCTTTTTTTCTTCTTTGGCACCATCGTGCCCTGTACGTATTTGATTTTGTTAGGTTAGTCTGTTTTGGTGGTTGTGTCTTTTGTTGAGCAGAGTTGCTGGCTGTAAAACAATACCAAGTTGCTGAAACCTCATTGCTTGAATATCAAATGTTTTATTAGTATATAGAGGGAGGCCTAGGTTTTCGAAACTTTCTTGATTGGAATCAGATAGGGGTTTGAGGAAGCAAAAGCATTTATTGTGATTGAACTGCTAATAAACTTGCTTTTATGTTTTGTTGTTGAATGGTGGGTTAACTTTAATATATTATTACGACTTATAAAAATGGTTTTTCATATTTAGCTAGATTAAGTCCATGTGTAAAAGTAGTTGGATCAGGAAAAGTAGTAAACACTAAACAGAGTGTGGTAGCTCCCACTGTTTTTCATTTACTTTCCTTTAGAAGAATTCAGTGCACATTACTAAGTTCTACAATCCATTATCTATTAGAAAAAAATACATACTTACAGGAGAAACAAGGAATCTGGAGAAAATTCCAACTTATGGTGGTTACCAACTTGTCCTTATATACATAGTCCACTTACAATAAAGTAATTGGATTCTTTCTTGACTTGTGGTGATCACAAAATTGTCCATTCATTGCATCATTTTTAATTCTTTTATGTTCCCTGTTGACATTGTTTAATCTTTGTGTTTCACTGCAGCTATTTATATACACAAGCAGAAAGGTTCTGGAACTCAAATAGCAGAACCAAAAGGTAAAATTTGGACCACTTTTCCCTGACAGTTTTCATTTTTGTTCAGCTGAATTAATCTTGATTCTGTTCTTATCGCTGTAAATGAATATAATGGTTTTGGGTAAACATAAATTTCATTTTTCTTGAAGGTTTTTGATTTAAGGAGCTCCTGCTCGTAAATCAAAGGTCAAGTCTTCGTTTTGTATTTGCATGGATGCTTCCGAGAGAGGAAACTAAAATTTCCAAAGTTGATTAATTCAATTCTATCTTGTTTTCTAGCTTGAGTGAAAGAGACCAGAGTAGGCAAGTCAACAAGTCAATGGTCTTCCATTTCTTTTAAGTTAACTTGAGCGTGTTCCACACTCTGATTTGTATTGTTGAATTCTAAGATCAAACCATATGGCCCACTGTACCTTTCAGTTCAAAATTTCCAAATTGTCATCTTCCTTAGGTTAGACTTTCATCGCTTTATAACCTGTTTTGTGCTAAACACATAATAAGATAAGAGTTATAGGGTTCTTTGAATCATACTGTCCAAATAAGTAATTTTTTTAACACAATCATAGTCCAAATAATTACGTACACCCATAATTTTAACATAACCATTTCACACTATCATTTATAGGATATCCAATGGTCTTAAATAAGGAAGAAGAATTCTGCAAGTTTAATGGTCTTATTCTTAGAGATCTGTTTATTTGATAGAATGGTTATTCCTTAATCATTTATAAAAATGAGATTAATTATATACAAATCATGTTAATGATTTTTTTCTTTTTAAGGAGCCCCTGCGTATAATTAAAATCAAAGGTCAGTCTCCTTTTCTCTGTTGCATTCTCAATAACTTTAATAGGATGCTTCCAGGAAACAAGATTTCCAGAGTTGGTTAATTGACTTGTGTTTTCATCAGAGACTAGAGC